GCCTCTGTGTGGACTTTACAACTCAATAAAGCCTGTCCCGAAGATAGTTATCTTCTCCCACACATCGATCTCCTTATTGATGCTACTACGGGACACGAGCTTCTAAGCTTTCTGGATGCCTACTCTGGGTATAACCTGATTAGCATTTTCCCCCAGGCCAAGAGAAAACCTCATTTATCACTCTGAAGGGAACCTATTGATATAGGGTGATGCCTTTCGAGCTCAAGAATGCTATAACTACATACCAGCGCCTCGTGAAAAAAATGTTCGAGGCTCAGATCGAGAAGACCATGGAGGTCAACGTAGACGACATGTTGGTGAAGAACATGAGTATAGCGGATCACGTGACACATCTGCAGGAGACCTTCGATATCCTGAGAGCATACATAATGAAGCTGAACCCTAAAAAGTGTGCCTTCGGCGTTAGTTCAAGCTTCATAGTCAATAAAAGGGTATTAAGGCCAACTCATACAAGATCTGAGCTATCTTAGAGATGAAATCCCCAACCTCTGTGAAGGAGGTCCAATGCCCTTAACGGGAGGATAACTTCCCTAAGCAGGTTTGCCTCAAAGTCAACAGACAAGTGTCTTCCTTTCTTTAAAATCCTTTGCAAATCTTTCCAATGGGGACCAGATGCAGAGGGGGGCCTTCCAAAAGTTAATTCGTTACACCCCCTTGCTCTCCCATGCTATAGTAGGAGAGACCTTGTACCTCTACCTCTCCTTGTCCTCTGTCATGAGCTCTATCATTGTTAGGGAGGATGAAGGTGTCCAAAATTTTGTGTACTATATAAGCAGGGCACACCAAGGAGCGGAGGTAAGATACTCAGAGCTTGAAAAGTTGGTTCTCGCACTTGTCATCGTGGCCAAGTGCCTATGCCACTACTTTCATAGCTATACCATCGTGGTTATTACAGATCAACCACTCAAAAGAATTTTGAAAAAGCCTGATGTGTCTGGCCGACTACTCAAATGGGTCGTCGAATTAAGTGAGTTCAACGTATAGTACTAGCCAAGGGCAATCATCAAAGCACGAGCAATTGCGGACTTCATGGCCGAGTCTACATCACCACAGGAACCCTAAGAAGAAGTACCATACGTCCCTGCACTCGCCTGCTTAGTACATAACACCTTCACTTACCATGAGGCATGCCCAGTCATTATCCCCAGAAAACCTTACGTCCTGGAGACAGCTCCCTAGACCCTTGAAGACCAAACCCCGCGGCTAGAAGCCTCCACCTCCCTTGTACTTGTTCCACTAGAGCTCTCAGCACCCTCGCTACCCATACCTCAATCTACTATTCCATGCTAGATACTGTATGTTGATAGGTCCTCCACTAGCGAGGGCGGTGGTGCAAGACTAGTGTTGATCAGTCCCCATGACACTCCACTCAAATACGTTGTCTCCCTCCACTTTGCAGCATCAAATAATCAAGCAGAGTACGAGACCCTTATATCAGGCTTGAAGCTTGCGATGGAGATGGAAGCCCTCTCCCTGATAGCTTACAGTGACTCACAACTGATAGTCAATCAAGTGAATGGAGACTTCAAAGTTAAGGAGGAAAATATGCAAGAATACCTATTAGTGGTCCAAGCTTTATTAAAAAAGTTTAACCACTTCTAGATCCACCACGTGCCCAGAGAAGAGAACGCCATGGCAGATGGTCTCGCCATGTTCGCATATGCCAACATACTCATGGGTCCAGCATTTACAGGCCACTAGTTTGAGCCAAGCAGACTCAAGGTAGAGGAGGGCGACGTTAATTGTGCATCCTCTGAAGCCATTTGGATGACACCCATCCGAGACTACCTAGAGGAAGGCACTCTTCCAGACAATCCAGTGGAAGCCAGAAAGTTAAGAATGAGAGCATCTAGATAAGTCATCCTTTGTGACACTCTATAAAAGAAAAGTTATTCACTACAACTACTCCGCTACCTCACCCCCAAGGAAGCAGATTATGCCATGAGGGAGATCCATGAGGGGATATGTGGAAACAACTCAAGAGGGTGTGCATTAGCTCTCAAGGCAGTAAGGCAAGGCTATTATTGGCCTAGCATTATCAGAGACGCCTGCGAGTTCGTGAGAAAATGTGACAAGTGCCAGCACTTCGCAACTGTGCCTAGATAGCCACCAGAAGAGCTCACCGCCAATTAGAGTCGGTGGCCCTTCTCCTTATGGGGGATTGACATCCTAGGTCCTCTACTCATGAGTCTGAGCCAGTGCAAATTTGTGGTGGTAGCCATCGACTATTTAACTAAATAGGCAGAAGCCGAGGCCTTAGCCAAGATAACAAACTAGAAGGTGAAAGACTTAATCTGTAGGAGCATAGTCTATCGCTTCAGAATACCTCATGCAATTGTAAGCAATAACGCCAAACAATTCGACAGTAAACTCCTTAACATATTCTGCTTTGACCTACAGATCAAGCAACCCCACTCCAACCCAGCCCATCCGTAAGTGAACGGACAAGCAAAGGTCACCATGAGCACCATCCTCCACAACTTGAAAACCCGATTAGAGAGTGCAAAGGGGTGATGGGTGGAAAAACTCCCAAGAGTACTATGGGCTCACAGGACAACACCAAGGAGCCTCACGGATGAGACCCCTTTCTCTTTATGTAGGCGGTTATACTAATCAATATTGGGGTACACTCCCTTAGGGTCCAACAACATGACCCTAACACTAATGAAGAAGGTCTCTGCATCAACCTTGACTTGGTAGAGGAGGAGAGGGAGATAGGCATGCTCATAGATGTAGAATACAAGCATCGCATTTCCAAGTACTACAACTCGAGGGTGAAGCCTCGCTCCTTCTTGCTTGGGGATCTAGTCCTCAATAAGGTCATCTTATCTACTAAAGATTCTTGGGAGGACCCTACACGGTCATAGAAGTTGTAAGACCAAGCACCTACAGAATTCAGAACTCTGAGGGGAAAGTCTTGGCCCATCCATGGAACATAAAACACCTTAAGAAATATTACCAATAGTTGGGGGCAAGATAGTGGGTGCACAAGTCAGTAGTTATCATTTAAATTATCTTTTAATGTTTTAGTCATTGTTATTTATTTCAAATTATGAAATAAAACTTTGCAAGATTTTGTCTTTTTCAAAAGCTATCTCTAATTCCATAGAAGTTCATAAACTATTTAGAAAAGATAGAATATGGCCTAGAAACAAAAAGAGAAACATGTAGATAAAAATACCATACTTTTGACATGACTCACTACTCTCTGATCTGCTCCCATCAAAGCTCTCATCTTCATCATCAGTCCCTAGTGCCTCATAAGGGACGAAGCTAGAAAATTCAGAGGCAGGAAAAGCTACTCAAACCTTCCCCTTAAGCTCCTTATAACTATCGATAAAGGTGCCTACCACAACCCTCTCAATAGCATCCCTCTTCTTCTCCATCTCGACAAAGTAAGTCTCTACCCTAGTAGCTCTCTCAAGAGTTGCTCGAAGGTTAGCCTCCAGTTGGGCAGCCCTTTCACAGGACGCCAAAAGTTCAGTCTCAAGGGGCACAGCTCTCTCATGTGCTAGCCTCAACTGCTCCTCGACAGCCTATCGCGCCTGTCTCTGGAGCAGCAACTGCTCCTTAACATCCCTTCGTATCTACCTCTCTGTTGCCAAATCACTGAGTGACCCTACAAGCTTCATCGTGCTTGAAAATAAATAGGGAAAAGCGGTAGCCACCTACAAGCATGTAAAAAAAAGGACATGAGGAAAAAGGAGCGGGTACAAAATCAAAAATGAAATGAATAAAAGTCATACCATAGCAAAGCCCTCCACAACAATGTCAATGATGCCCTCTGGACCTCAAGAGCTGATCTTTTGGATCTTCATAGTGGTCACAAACCCCTAAAGTTACTCATTGGCTAGATTCATGTCCTACAACACGGATATTGAACCACTACTAGAAGTAGGACAGCTATGTGGAGCTTTGGTCCTTGTAGGGAACCGCACTGGAGCCTAAATCCCTATAGTCGTGATCGGACTAAATCTAGAATTCGATGGAGTCATAGCCAGGAAAAAAGTGGGGCATCACCAGGTCCCGCCTCTGGGGTACTAATCTAGCCAACAGATCTCGACTGAGAAGCACTGGAAGCATCAAACTTCGCCCTCTTAGAGGAAGGAGGGGAAGAGGCCACCTTGGAATCATAAAGAGCCTCCACCATCGCTCTATCATTAGAGGGACCTGCGGAGTTGGTGTGAGACAAAAAGCTTACAAAGTCATAACCATTATGAGTCTATTGGAAGGATCAGATACCTTTCCTTTTCTACCTAGGGGAGACCTTGGGACAACTCGATGTGGACATAATCTCTAAAAACTCCTTATAAGGATGATCCCCACAACCTAAATTCTATTCTCCTACTCCATAGATAATGTGGGTGGAGCTGCAAAGGAACCAATCACACAGTAAGAACAGATACGTGACGACTAAATGTAAAAGAAAAAATGAAATTCTTACCTAGCTTGGTCCTTGGAACAGTGTCCCACCTTCAAGGAACTAAGTTGCGATCTACCTCAACGGCCCACTCACCTCCAACAAAGAAGAACCTAGACTTCCAATTATGATAATTTGAAGGAAGTCTTGTGATGAAGTTGCCCGACCTCGGGGCAAAACAATACCACCTTTAATGAGGAGAAGGGTTATCTACAAGCACGTGTGTGGACAAAAGCTCCTCGAAAGGGGGAGGAACATCAGCACTGTGAACTAGCCGCCATAATTAGAAGAATTCTAGGATCACTCTCCACCCTTTGGGAGTCAACCTCCTAGGAGCCAACAATAGGTGTTCTAGAATCCGACAAATGGGTCCAAGTAATGGGAACCTCAAACCCGCCTCTAAGACATCCTCGTAAAGAATGATCTCTCCCGAGGAGTCATAACACGATGGCTCATCCTCCTCCATCCGACGACACATGATGACAGGAGGGATACGGTACCAAGAAATAATGCGGGCAATATCATCATCACTATCCACATAACTAAAAATGTAGATTACCTTTGAACAATCACCTTTAGCAATCCTCTCACCTCGTGAGGAGCCTTGTGGAGCATCCCTCTACACACCATAGATAGATTGGGACCCTAAAGAAAAAGAAGTTGGAGTCAATTTCAAGAAAGCCTCAATATCAATTAAATGCCAAAACAAGAAAGTCAAGTGACAGTCTCATCTTCACGAGATCAAACATCCCGACCGCCAGTGCCACCTTTCGTGTGCGTGCCGTCACCCTGACCACCGGTGTCGTCGCCTGACCTACACTCGTCTCTGCTCTGCCCCTAGTAGACATCGCCCAGTACATTGGTGCCACCTAGCCCAACGTCACCCTTTACTCCTCTGTCTATCAGCATGCTAATTGACACGTGCCTAACGCCCCTTCCTTTCTTTCTCGCGTTGGCATTGCTTTCAAACCCCAAGATGTCATCCTTAGTAGCTGGGTTGGCGTTGACCTTTACCTAGGCTTCGGCATCGCCCACTGCCTGCTCTGGACCACTATACAGGCCTGCCTCAATCGCTGAAGTGGCGCTGCCTAGGTCGACATTGGCGTCGCCTTTTGCACGAAGGGTGCCACCTGTGCATCTTCTACCTTCATCACCACCCATATCCATGTCTGCGGTCTCCCCTCCATCAATTACACCAGCAATGCCTGCACCTAGCCAGCCTACACTGAGGCTTGAGTCACCCACGAATGCGTGATCCAAGGTGCCACCAAAGTAGCCTGAGGAGCCACCCAAGCGACCCGATGCATCACCCTTATCCTCTGAAGCTCCACCTTTCGTGAGACTGGTTTTTCCCAAGCCTTTGACATTGCCCATAGCATCTCTACCGCCGCCAAGGGCCTCACCTAGCATTTCCTAGGACTTCGCCAAGGCCTATCTCCTGATTTCACATGTTCGCACTGAATCACCAGTTGTTTTCCCACTTATGGAACCTCCTATTATCGTCTCCAAGCTCCACCATTTTCCTCGATTTCTTATGGGCAGGGAGATTTTGAGCCCTAGCCTCGAGGGAAAGCTTTACGTGAAAAAAAGGGATGAAGTGAAGGGGGTTAAAGGTTTTATATATATAAGCCCTTTTAGGGGATTTTTCTTGAAAATACAAGGGATCTCTTTAAGATTAGTGAAGGACCCAGCAAAAGAGATGTTGATGAATGCCAAAAATGCCTATTGATGGTGATTTCAATTAAAGGAAGAGATTTCACAATCTATGATGATGGAAAGGTCACCATGTGGAATAAGAAAAATTTTGCTCATCTAGGCGAGGAAGACTCACATGCCATCTACCTCTTGTTATCTCAAGGGATTAGGGCATGGGGGGAAAATGATGAGCCCAGATTCAACAGGGTTAGGCCCAATCAATTGAGTAAGCCTAAATTAGCTATAAAGCGGGTCAAGCCTAATTCATGGATTCAGCCCTGCCCAAAGATCGGGGAGTCCAAGAATGATTAGAGCACGTTGAGAGCAATTATCAGGATAGTCACTCTCAAATATCAAGACAATCTTTAATTGTACATATCCTTAGCTATAGGTATCCTCCCTAAAGAACTAGTACTTTTACCCTCACGTCACCACCTTAACAAAGGCTCTGTGCCTATAGATTGTAAGCTCTCTCTACATGAGGGAACATCTCCTACACACCCATCACATAGCTATTTCTTTCTCCTAGGTAGCTAACCTCCCTTAGAGCTCACATTTGCTCTCTCCCTCTCTCACACATTACTTTATTAATAAAAGTCTCTAGCCACTGTTTCTGCCTTCTGAAGTGGAGTAGGTCCCCCTGACCGAACCACTATACATCTGTTTGTTGACTAAATATTTGCCTTTTTGCCATTAATTGCTTTATTAATGGTTTCACTAACTCCCCTGCATCATACACTCGACTATTGATTGTGCATAAGTCTATTTTGTGCATCATGAGGCTCAATAGATATATTTTCAAGCTCACTCAATACAATAATATCTCATCTCTTTACAAACAAAAATTCGCTCAATTAAACTCAAAGAAGGAGACAATCACAATTGACCTTATATCCAAGATCTCACAATAATAATCATTTCTTGATATGTAAATCACCCTTTGAATGATCAAGAACTCCCCAATAATTTTCCAAAAAAGTCTTACTTCAATAGCCCTCACAATCCTCTTTATAGAGGAAGTAATTGGACAAGCAAATGAGCTAAAAACTAGACGTTAGAACCTTCAATGGACACATCTGGCATACGAGTTGGTCCAATTGAAATCATTTCAAGACTTTGAAAATGGGAGATTCTGGGAAGAATTAATGCATACTAGTTCACCAACTCTTTCTGATTCATCCATCCAACATGTCGGATCCCTCTTTCGGTTGATCGGATCTCTGCACTTTCATCAACTTCCAAAGTGATTATGGCCCTCAAAACATTAGAATTTGATGAAGCCTATTTTTGACAAAATTGTAACCCTTGATGTCTATTTCTCCATCCTTTTAGCATTACGTCATTTGGAAATTTGAGTAGAATGTTATGTCCCAAATACCAAAACATGTCTAAAACTCTTGATTATTCAGCCTTCATGCTTAACCTTCATATTCCAAGCTATTTTCGACCTGCAAGAAATTCCATCCTCAAACTTGTTATTTCACATAAAGTTGTAGATCTTGAGGTCTTATTTCCAATCTCATTTGAATAAAATTGAGTTGAAATCTCCATCAAAATTCATTCAACTATTAGCAAGATTATGTCAAATTGACGATTTTGACATTTTTTCAATTTTGACATTTTTTCTTCTTGGCTTGTTTCTTGTAGTTATTTGCATTGATCTTTCAACTCTTCTTCTCAACCAACATAATCACATTATTAACTTTAATGATGATCATATAAAAATGATCCTTAATCTCTTCAAGTTATCCTCATATGCGCATCAAACTGACGAAGTTGTTGAAGAAGCTTATCATGCTCATTCAATCTCACCTTCACTCAACCTCTTAGTCTATGCTAATTCTCTTGATTTATTTGTATCTTCAATCAACCAATTTTATCCATTCTTAATCTCATCTTTTCTTTGTATCTTCAATCATAGCATCTTTTCTTTTGGTTCTTTATACATAGTGTAGCACATTGAACATCAAAGTTTTTCATCTTGTATTTAACCTATGCAACACTTTCTGTAAAACCTGAAAAAATTTAAAATTTTATCGTGAAGGGAAAAATTGTAATTAGCCATTATGGTACGATTTAAAAATTCAAATTTTTCTCGAACTCAGATGATAAAATAGATCTTACCCTTGGATCTGTCTTTCAAAATCTAGTTATCCAGTCGATTTTTGTCAATATTTTTGCGTTTTATGATGCGATTGGGCGTCACATGATTAAAATAAATGCGATCAGGATTTAATTGTGAATCACAAAAAATAATTTAAATTTATTTTAAATAAAATATATTGAATAGAAAACGGGATGAGATTTAATTGATTAGGGATGAAATCAGATCAGAAAATAGGGAACATGTGGCGCAGCAAGAACCAAGTAAATGGGGGGTACTTCCCCATTTGCTAAGCCAAACACAGCCAGATAGAGAGAGAAGTAGAAGAAAGAGAAAGCAAAGATTCTTTAAGCTTCTCCTTGCGATCTACGGCTATTCATCCTTCAGATTGCTTCAAACTACGAACAAAAAAGTGTTCTACGCAATGAGAGCTACAAGTACATACCAAAGATCGCGGGTTTCACTGAAGTCTCAAGATTGAGATTTTCTGAATCAAAGCTTTGAAACTTAATTTGGGTATTTTGGAGCTTCTACTACGCAATATTACACTTCAAGAGGTAGGGTTCTTTTTCTAACTAGGTTTATTTCTAACCTAGGGTTGATATATGAAATGGTAGGGTGTTAGAGATATAATCTCATGTATTACACATACCTAGTACAGTTGAAATGTGGCAAATGAGTATGAGAATGAGTTAAAATCAATCCTTGTGTGAATTGGATTTTGGTGAAATTTCTTGCTTTAGAGTTTCATGAGAAATGTGTTGAATTGGGCATGCTATGTGTTTACATAATTTTGGGCCTTGTAGGTGTTTGATAAAATGCCCATGATTGATTAACTATGTTACTTGAAGAAATTGATATAACATGCATTGTGAAGATTTTGGAATTTAATTACATGTTTTATGATATAAATTACATTGAGAATTGGAAATGTTAATAGATATTGAAATTTTTCACAACTTGCTCATGGCATGTTGAACATGATGTCATAATTGCAATTGAAAACATGACTGCATAGTGATGTGAAATGTAATTATTCATTACATTTGCATATGCATAGGTAGCATTACATTCGTGGGCAATTAACATAAGTGTGGGTGTGTGTGCATGGTTTTAATCAAACATCATCCGTGGTGAGTTGATACATGGGCTCGAAAAATTGGACCTAGGTTCAATTGAGTCGCACGGGTTGCATTGAAAATAAGGGTTGCGGTTAGTAAGAATGACTAGATTCTCCCTTAGGTGCAAAACCAGGTAATTTTGGATATGAATTCCGTTGGTATTGAATCCATAAAATTTATCGGCATACGCAGAGCCGTAGATGGAAGTCCATAGATGTCATGTCGGTTGGGTACTCGTTGGTGGAAGTTCATAAATACCCACCCCAAGAAACACCCGGGATTTATAAATGGTCAATAGATGTGCAACATCAATGGTGGAGACTTAGAATGTCTGGATTCATACGAATAGCATTACACGTGTTATGGGAGCCAGTGGAAGACTCGGGTTACAATGCATATGTGAGTACCATCTCATGATAGGGCAAGGCATTGTAGAATCCATTATGAATTACATATTCTTGGTTGGTTGCTTGTTTGATTGTTGAATTACATGTGAACATTTCATATGCATGTGGGTTGGGGAATAACCTCTTTAGAAGATACCCTATTGAGCGTGACTCACTCTTTATGGAAACAACATTTCAGGTGCATGACAAGCACCGATAGATGGTCCTCACTAAATCCCTTGCTGAGAAGAAGCCAGAATGTAGCTTTAAATTACATTTTGTAAAATAATTGTGTAATTTGAATTGAACTTGTAAATTGTATTAAGAGGACATGTAATGAACTCTTATTGACTAGAATTTGTGTATATGAATTAAAGAATGAGTATGGAATGGGTTTGGATGGCCAATGGTTTAAGATTGGAAAGAATTGGAGAAAAACTAGGCCCAGGTACCGGTACCTAAGTGATTAAGTACTAGTACCATGCTATTGGATGGGCCAGGTACTGATACCTCTATGGACAGTGGGCTTAAGTACTGGAGCATTTTCTGCATCA